TATGGTTTTGATTTGCTTGACGTTAATTCATATTCATCATGTGTGCCGCTTTTGATTGTTGACAGTGAGTTTGATTGCTGGAAGCAGTCGAACTCAAAGTTTCTCTCAGATGTTTTCGTCTGGGTTGATGTCTGCCAACTTTCAACGATGTAGCACAACTATGCATTCTTCATCTTTTATCCACACTGAGATCAGGGCCCTCATCAATAGTCTCTTGACACTAGTCATGATTGGACTAAACTATGTTTTTAAATTAATAATATGCTTTAAATTGTGGTTTACCTTTACAAAAATCCTTATGTGGTTTGTAATTCCCTTTCACTGATTTTCTTGAGCTGTGCGTCGATGGATCACTGACGTGATGCCCATTTTTTGAGTCTGGAGTCTGGACCCATTAATTTATTCACAAAACATAACAAATACTCAGTTTTGTGGGTGTTGAAATCTTTTCGTCGACAGTGAAGCTTCTCAAAAAACATAAACGGAAATGAACAGTAGCATTTAACTATACTTCAATAAAACATAAAATAGCGAAAAATATACAATGGAATTTTCATTCCATCATTCAAACAACCCACCTTCCAATGCTAAACACATGAGAGAAAGTACAGGATATTAAGTTGATAACTTGCTCAGTTTTGCATTGTCGCTGAACTCACACACTATTGCAATATGTATTTAATAACGTCACGATGTTTTTATGCAATAGTTCAATCAACAAGTAACTTACCTTTTGGATACAATATTGCCAATTATTAGACGAATTAACTTTTGTTGTAGTCCCATTTGTGAAATTTCAGACGAATTGTCAAAAAAGGTCTACTGCCCATTGTCAATAGCATAGCAGTGTATGAATCACAGATCACACAGAAGTCAATTTTAAACCAAAACCAGCAGCTTTCTGTTGGTCAGTGCAGCAAATTGACATGACCTAATTATACACGAGTGAAAACATCTTCGTCCTCATGCAAATCTCTTGATTGCTCTGATTCCTATTGAGATGACTGGATTTCACCCACTAAATTTTGCAGAGCAATGGCAAAAGTGACCACACCTTAATGAACTTTGGAAGAAATCCATGTTTTTGAACTAATCGCTTGAGTTAATAACTCCATATATCACTCGTATATTTTTTTGTCCCTAAATAAATCTGTATTTTGTACAGTATTGATGTAAACCTACAGAAGAATAACTGAAAATCCCTACCACTAATGCTTTTTCACAAGAAAGCAACATTGGGACAAGAATGCTGGCCATCATTTTAAACTGGATTTTTCGTTTTTTTATTGTTATGCACATTCTTATTAGTCATTGACCCAAATATATTATGTAATCCTATTTGTCATACTGCAATATCACATGGCATATGAAAACACTGCCTTTTCAAAAGCATTCAGACCCTAATTAAGTCTCATTTTGATGAAGCTGTCAAGCTTCTCTTGCAGTATGATGCAATCAGTGTTGCTCTGTGAGGTGCACCCTTCAGCTTGGGAGAAAGTTCGTGATTCCAAACACAGGGCCAAATTAACACTGCAGTGGCTCATCAACAAAAAGATGAATGTTCTCTATTGATGCAGTGTCGCAGTCAAAGCCTTGATCCCAGTCCAACTGGCCTGGCACAATTTGGAAAACTGCATTGCGTAAGCACCATCCAACTAACTCAAGCTACCTAGAGTGAATCTGCCTAGAAAAAATGTGTAATGTAAATCAAATGAGTTTTGAATACTTGTGCAAAAGCATCCTTCAGTTTTATATTTGTTCATTTCAGTGCACACCTCTTGTTGCTGTTACTTCTCAATATACATACTATATATAATAAATCAATTACAAGACTGGAATTACAGTCTTCACTATGTTAGCCACTCAAAAGTATAAACTTTCACATCTCCACTGAAGTATTAAGTTTTAGTGCACAGTATGTTCCCCCTGTCTGCCCTCACTGAGAAATGCGCTAAGTGACCTTTGAACTTAAGTCAAATATTATTTTACATTTAGCGTAAATTAGATAAACGTTCTGTTGTATCCCCTCGTGGAAACCCCAAATATGAAATAAACTACATCATTTCCCCTAATCGCATTATTAGCAGGTGTGATAGCACCTGTCAGTTGGGAATGTTGACTTAGATGTGTGTCTTAATAACTCTAAGTATGATTCATGTTTTCAGGGCTCAGGGGTCAGGACAGGCGGACATAAAACACCACAGAATCCTCCGGAGAGGTGGAACGCGTGTCCGTTTATCTGTGGGGTGGGAAGGTCTTGTGAACGTTTCCCACTGTGCAGTCTTTTACTTTCCCATATGAAGACTAACAAACACATTAGGAATTCAAATTCAAATTAGGAATTATTATAGAACGAAAGAAAATATTAAAATGTCATATTCAACACAATGGCACAAAAATAAACTGTTTGAGGTTAATCATTGTTTAACCTAACACACTCAAACTAAACCTTTATTTACTCTACTGTTTAAAATTTGGTAAGTAAAAATAATTTTTTTTTAATAGAAATTAATAAATTTTACTCAGCAAGGATGCATGAAATTGATCAAAAGTGAGAGTAAAGACATTTATAATGTTATAAAAGCTGCCTTTATGAAGAATTTAACATCTGGGAAATATTTTGTGCCGCACAGACGTCAAGAAAGAAACTTAACCTTAAGTTACTTTTAAACGTTTGAGCAACACAGCATTTTCATATTAGACAGAATATGAAACAGAAGCTGAAAAGTGCTGAAATGAAAGGCTCACCTAACAAAGCAATTTTCCAAAAAGAAAATCTTTATGAAAGTCTTTAAATGGCATGAGTCTGCTGAATGGGGGGAAATGGGATTTGTGATTTCTGTCTGAGGTTACAGAAGCTGCATGTTTCTAATTAGTCTACTGAAACCTAACCAGAAGCGGAATTTCTCTCTTTCGCTCCCTCTTTTGAGGTATTTTATTTAATACTTATTTCCTCATATGCTTCCTCGACCGTTTCTTCTGCAACGTTATGTCTTCATTCCCCTCCGTCTAGTTCTCATGCACTCATTTCAATTTTGCCCTGATGAGTTCTATGAGCAGTAATAATGCCACTCTTATCTTACTGAGATGCTATCGGTGGCACTTTGAAGCCTGGCTGATGTAATCTGTTGCCCTCTGCACATCTCTTTATTAAAGCTACGTTAGAATGATGAGTTTGACAAGGCCCTCTCCACCAATATAATCCCATAATAGTCTGGGGAGACATGCTGTCTAGTGTCTACTGTCAATGTTGTTCAGAAAGCCTGGGGTGATCTTCACCTCGTCTTGTAAGCTAGTCCCTTTAAATCTATAGAATAATTAGAATGTCTTTTAAATGACTGAATTTTACATTTGAAATGTTTTAAAATTTGAAATGTAAAATTTGAATTTTAAGTAGAAAAAAAGGAAATATATACGTTTTTAAATTATTTTATACATATATGCAACAGTTTTTTTTTCTGGTACTCAAATCTGATTGGCTGAGAGCCTCTTCCAGGAGTCTGATATTCTAGTGATAACAGAACTCCAACCATTTCACCGTTTGTATCACTCCGCTTGTGGTATTTCTCACAAAGAGTGTCATGATGGATGCCCAACTTCACTATAATTTTATAAATAATACTGCTTTTGTGTCACGGAACGTAGTTTTAAGGTTTTTTTTAGGTGATAATGTAGTTGTTTTGACTTCAAATATGCGGTTTGTTATTAAAGATAACGTCTATTTGAAAATTTGCTTCGACGTTTTCGGAGAGATTTTATACTCTACTCTACATAATACTAAGAGCTTTTATTACAGTAATTCAATAAGCTTTCAAGGAAGCAATTCAATGTCCCTTTGTTACTAGTTCTAAAGTGACGTTTTCGAATTCGAAATGGAAGCTTGGGCTCAGCTGATAAATGGTCAACTTAAGATTTGAATCCGTGGTGGAAGGAAGTAGTTCCCTACAAAAGAGGGTTTTTAAAGATACCAACAACAATACACGAGTAGCAGTGTGATATGGCTGTATATCGCCATATGCACTGCTACTTGTGTGATATTGCTGGTAATATTTAATTTAAAAATTTATTAAATAATGTATTTAACATTATATTTTTGAAATGCCACCAGCAGAAATGTGTGCTTAATTTATATTTAGTTATATTTAATGCTTTAATTTTTATTTAATGAACAATGGTGGAAGATGGTGGCATTTCTGAGAATGCCCTATTTAATCAATATATTACATTCAATATAGAGGCTAATTTTGATGTTAATATAAATTTAATGGTTGCCATCATTTTGACAGAACTGAAGTATGACAAATATCTAAACATTAGATACAAAATATTGTACATTGATTAATAAAATTTTAATATATGCTAATGTGTTAAAATATAATGTTTTAAATATATCTTAGAATGGTTTTATTATTATAAATTCTTGAATTCTTGCACAACCCTGCTTTGGATGTGCTGGTTTGAATGGGAAGCCATGGATGGAGTTATTTGTCCTGGGATCCATTAAGAAAGGTGGGAATTGCACAGGTTTTGTGTTTATAGGCAGCTTGGTGAATATACAAACCTATTTGGCAGGTACTTTACTCAGACGTCTTTTTATTTGAGGATGAAAAGCAGAAACGTGAAAAGAAAGTGGCTGTAGATAAGAGAAATGTGACTTTCACTGGGACTAGAGGGAGTTATCCGGTCATTGAAGAGAAAAATAAGAAGGGATGGTTTTAGAACGAGTGTTAAAAAGGATAAAGACTTAGAGGAGGGTATCAATGTGGCCTCCACTTCTCTATACATTAGTGAATGACTAATGAGAAACAACAATGAATATTCATGAGTTTGGGCTTCATTAGAGAGACTTTGATGGTATGATGAAGGGCCTTACGCCTTTGTATATGTTTGAGAGCATGTGTGTGAGTGTGTGTGTGTTTTGGAATAAGACTGGGGTTCAGCAAGTAAAAACCAAAACCACATATACAAATGCAAAGAACATGTCTGTGTTTGCATTACAGAATTACAGAAAATCCAGTCCTTTGAGCACTACACTTTGTCTGAGAAAGCTATGGACTATAGGATACTCTTCATGGACGAAGATCAAGACCGTATGTACGTGGGCTGCAAAGACCATGTACGTGAAGGGCCTTACGCCTTTGTATATGTTTGAGAGCATGTGTGTGAGTGTGTGTGTGTGTGTTTTGGAATAAGACTGGGGTTCAGCAAGTAAAAACCAAAACCACATATACAAATGCAAAGAACATGTCTGTGTTTGCATTACAGAATTACAGAAAATCCAGTCCTTTGAGCACTACACTTTGTCTGAGAAAGCTATGGACTATAGGATACTCTTCATGGACGAAGATCAAGACCGTATGTACGTGGGCTGCAAAGACCATGTACTCTCAATGGACATCAACAACATCAGCCAGACCCCACTGAAGGTAAGAGAGCACTCAAAACCTCTCTACTGTATATCAATTTGAAATGAAGCACAACAGTTGTAGAAACCAATGGTGACCACATTTCTTTCCTTCACATTTGACTAATGGGAGAATTGAAGTTTGGTTAAACTCTGTTGGCTTTTGAGGAGACAGCTTGAACACAACTGGCAAAAATTATGGAAGTTTATCTTTCCTCTTGCACCCAAGGCTGGCAAAACTTCAGAGATTCATTACATTCCAGTGCATTTTGCTGGTCTATGCTGCCCATCTATCCTGGCGGGCTCAACCCCAATCACGAGTTCACCTTTAAAAAGCCTCACCCAAATTAGAGTACAAAACAGCATGATTTGTGTCTATTTTAAGAGCTTAAGATTGCTAAATAACTAGGCTTTAAAATGGTTATTTATTGTAAAAGGAAGAATTTTACAGAATGTCCAGGCTGTTCTTGCATGTGCTTATAATGAAAGGTGACAGGGGCTGTTGATGATTGATTTTGATCAATTTACTGAATCCTTGCTGAATAAAAGTATTACTTTAAAGTATATATCTGTCAGTCAAAAGAATAAAACACTCTATATCTAATGTTCTTTTGTCCATATATTGCAATTTTCTCATTGCTCTCCTCTTATTTTTTCTCAGATCTTCTGGCCGGCATCCACTAGTAAGATCGAGGAGTGTCAGATGGCTGGCAAAGACCCCACAGTAAGAACATTGAGACTTTTAAACTCCTGGCATGTTATGGTTGGCCAGATCTTTTATGCCTCTGTTTCACAGCGAAAGCAGCAGCATTCTTGATTCGACTCCTTTTTGTCTGTTGCTTGGTGAAGTGATCATCCAGTGAGCTGTTTTCACATGCATTATTCTCCCTACAATCACAGCAATTAATTAAACTTGTCCCAAATCAATCAAAAGGGCACCAAGCCTGAGCTGATTTTAAATCAGTGTTTAGTCCTCAAATTTGAACCGTCATGGCTGGATCAGGAACAGATGCATGAGTTTATTCAAAATAAAGTTTTATTATTCCAATTTCTAACAGTCATGGCTGGATCAGAAACAGATGGCTCTTGCCCCATCTCTAGATGTTGTCTGAAGCGCAGTGGGAGGTCACACCTTCTCTTTGTCATCAACTACATGTGTTAAAACAAAGTAAATGCAGGATGGACCAAAGTTCTCAACTGGCCAAAGATAAATATTTTACTTCACACCCATACCACAAATGATTATGTGCTTACGAAAAATGCACTCATTTACATGTGCACTGCACTCAGATATAAAATTAGGTATTGTATATTTTAATTGCATGTAACTGGAAAATAGGGCAAATTTAGGTAAACCCTGGCTATTTTTTTTACATTAAGATGAGGAAAATATGTCCCAATTTACTGGTCATGGCTCAATTTTAATTTACTCCACAAAATGAATCTTATGAAAACTGTCTGGGTCATACTTCACCAAAAAAAAAAATGTTGATAGATAGATAGATAGATGACACAATACTTTTTATAAATAAAAATCTATTAAATAAGCAGTCCAACAAACTACCATTATTTATGAATATAAATATATATATTTATTTTTTGCAGTAAGATCTGTAATACGATTTGTAATACAAATAACGCCAGAATAAACCCTCCTAGAACAGGCTTTTCATTATTCAAGATTAATTTAAGTATCATTTATTGCTTTTGCTTTGAATTTTAGTTATGTTTTGCACTAATCAATTGTTCCACAAGGTGGCAACACCGGCCCCAGGCTGTTGTTTCAAAGCAGAAAACAAAACTAAAGAGACTGCAACAACAACAAACGCTAGATAGTCGCAACTTTAGTTTAAAAGAGTACAAAGATATTTTTATCTGTCATAACTTCTGGAGAAAAGTAGAGCAGACACTGAACAACTCTAGAGCACGTGTCGACTGCCTGCGTTCACGCACACTACCAAATGGAGTATAATTTGAAAGGCTATGTATTTGACTGTAAACAGGCTTTTCATTATTCAAGATTAATTTAAGTATAATTTATTTCTTTTGCTTTGAATATTAGGGTGAAAATGCCACCAAGTGCCCTTGAAAGTTTTAATAAAATTCACCCAGTCCTAAACTGTATGACTACAGCGCTTTAATAACTTTACCAGTGGGGGTACAGAGCACCATGTCAAATAGTGATATATGCAGCTTTTGTAGAGTTTGCAGATCAGCCTTCCCGCACTGCTTCTGACAAATATTTGTGTTTGAGCCTTTCCTACAGTCTGTTTTCCTCTGTGTTTAAACTATAGGGTTTGTGCCACAGATTTCCTTGGACGTTTTATTTGTATCTATGGATCTGTAGCACTGCCTCTTGTCAGGTTGTCAGGTTTCCTCCCCTCACAGGGATATACCCCATCCCTCTCCCCTGACAGGACCTGTAGCCACAGGAGCGGCAGCGCATGACCTCACATCATCCGAATCCATCTGCATCATTTGGGAAACACTGAGGGGTTTATTTAAGAGAGCTGTAAATGATATTAAGATGTGTTTATGGAGCTCTTTCTTGTTAATTCTGCCTGATCTGTACGTGAACCATAAGCTGTCAAGATGTCTTTTTGCCTTTGCGGAAGAAAAAGGTTACATACCATAAATCTAGTAGTGAATACAAGCCAGAAGAGGATAATGTTGATATGTGCCACAGAACTATTAATGACAAACATGTGAAAGAGATCAAGGGGAGGAGTGGATGGTTGGGTGTGTGCTATTGGAAGCGCTGTTATTTTTCTGGAGTTGCTCTTGAAGGACCTGCGTGTGCGCATGCTAACCGAGAGCTCATGCAGCTGCTGTTTTGACACACTTCGCCAAGTTCCTAACTACTCCCCTGGCGCTTCTTTTCTTTCTCTACTCATCCCTCTCTCACTCTTTCTTTGGGCTGGATCATGTGTAGTCGGTTTGGTGTCCACTTTAGTTTGGGATTCCTGTATTCTAAGATGGGCCTTAAATTCCTGACCTATATAAACTTTTATTTCCTCAATTACAGGTCTGGATCAAAATAAATTGTCTTCATTTTAACTGGCATTGTCCTTTTCCAAAATAAAAGAACGGAGCGTTGCAGCTTGCTAATAGAATTATGTAGCACTAAATGACTTTAAAATTACATTAAAAGAGATTTTAGTATAACTTTTAGGAATGAAAACAATTATCTCTGTCTCTTTTGTTCTCCTCAGCATGGATGTGGAAACTTCTTACGAGTGATTCAGCCTTATAACAGGACTCATCTGTTCATCTGCGGCAGTGGAGCCTACAGCCCAGTGTGTGCATATGTTAACCGTGGAAGGCGTCCTGAGGTCAGTTTACACTCATTAATGAAAAGCAGTCAGACCGTCTGATTTAGTTCAGTTTCATTTTACTACATTTGTTTCAGAATTCTAAAATGCTGGACTGAGAAATGGACAACAGGCCCATATTCTCCTCATTTCCTGGTAAAAAATGTGTTTAATCTACCGTTGAGTTGTAAAGTTCAACATCATACATCCTTTAAAAAGCTCATGACAATTTACACCAGCATGGGAATGAGGGTGGTTAGAGGCTAAAAGAGTGAAAGAAAAAAGATCAGGTGAGAAGAGATGAGATGAGGCAAGACAACATGAGTGCGCAACACAAATTCTGTCAACAGAATAGTACTACTCTTTGTAAAAGTGCATACTTTGTATGTGCAGGTCGCACATATGCATTGCATTTTTCTGCACTAATCAATTGTTCCACAAGGTGGCAACACCGGCCCCAGGCTGTTGTTTCAAAGCAGAAAACAAAACTAAAGAGACAACAACAACAAAATAGAAGAGACTGCAACAACAACAAATGCTAGATAGTCGCACCTTTAGTTTACTAGAGTACAAAGATATTTTTATCTGTCATAACTTCTGGAGAAAAGTAGAGCAGACACTGAACAATTCTAGAGCACGTGTCGACTGCCTGCGTTCACGCACACTACCAAATGGAGTATAATTTGAAAGGCTATGTATTCCACTGTACGCATACATTAGCGTACACATACAAAACCGTCGTATACTTCGAGCTTAAGATGAATGTGCTGAGATTAAACAAGAAGATAAGATATAAGACCAGATGACAAAACAAAACTAGAAGAGACAAGACAAGAGATGGTACGAGTCAAAACAAGACAAAACGTGAAACCAGATGAGATGAGAGAAGACCAGATGCGACACAATGTGAATACACGGTTAAAGGTTGAAGACAAGATAAGATTAAAATGAAAATAGAAGAGAAGAATAAGAAGTAAAGGGAAGAGATATGTTGAGACAAAATGAGATAAGATGAAACAAAAGACGAGATGAGGACAGGCGGGATGAGATGAGACAAATAATAGATGAGATGAGATGAGACGAGACAAGTCGTGACGTGAGATGGAAATACATAATAAAAAGTTAAAGGAGAATTAGACTAGATGAGATAAAATGAGATGAGAGAATCAACAAAATGAGACGATTGCATGAAATGAGAAGACGTTAGACAAGAAGAGAAGAAATAAGTGAAGAGACACAGCAAGATGAAACAAAACAAGGTAAGAGACGAGATAAGGACAGGCGAGATGAGATGAGACAAGAAAAAATTAGGACCAGATGGGATAGGATGAGAGCTGACATGCTGTCACACAAGATGGGAATACATAAAGTTTAAAAGAGAAGAAATTTAGATGAGATGAGTAAAGTTAAACAAAATGAGGAGAGTTGGAAGATAAAATGAGGCAATAAATGAGAATTGAGAGGAGATGAGGTGAGATGAGACTAGACAAAATAAGACAAAACTAGATGACACGAGATGAGACCAGACAAAACTAGATGAGATGAGACAAAACAAGATAAAAACTAGATGAGACACGACAAAACTAGACGAGATGAGACAAATCTAGATGAAATGAGACAACACGAGACGGGACAAAACTAGATTAGATGAGACAAGACGAGACAAAACTAGACGAGATGAGACGAGACAAAACTAGATGAGATGAGATAAAACAAGACAAAACTAGATGAGATGAGGTCAGATGAGACAAGACTAGACAAAACGACAAAACTAGATGACATGAGACAAAGACAAAACAAGACAAAACTAGATGAGATTAGATGAGACAAAAAAAAGACAAAACTAGATGAGATGAGACTAAACAAAACTGGATGAGATGAGACAAAACAAGACAAAACTAGATGAGATGAGGTCAGATGAGACAAGACTAGACAAAACGACAAAACTAGATGACATGAGACAAAGACAAAACAAGACAAAACTAGATGACACGAGATGAGACCAGACTAAACTAGATGAGACGAGACAAAACAAGATAAAAACTAGATGAGACATGACAAAACTAGACGAGACGAGACAAAACTAGATTAGATGAGACAAGACGAGACAAAACAAGACAAAACTAGACGAGATGAGACGAGACAAAACTAGATGAGATGAGATAAAACAAGACAAAACTAGATGAGATAAGATGAGACAAAAAAAGACAAAACTAGATGAGATGAGACAAAACTGGATGAGATGAGACAAAACAAGACAAAACTAGATGAGATGAGGTCAGATGAGACAAGACTAGACAAAACGACAAAACTAGATGACATGAGACAAAGACAAAACAAGACAAAACTAGATGAGATGAGAGTAGACGAGATGACACAAAACAAGACAAAATTAGATGAGACAAGACGAGAAAAAATGAGACAAAACTAGATGAGACGAGGCGAGACCAGATGAGATTAGAAGCAGTCCTACTAGTCATCGGAGTCCAACAGCTTGTTTTCTATAATTCTTTTTTGTTTGAAAAGCGTTTTCCTCTCTCAAACCTCCGTCTGTGTCCATCTCTCTTGGCTACACACCAGCTGGACTATTACAGAAGAAGAAAACTCTGCAATAGGGTGACCTGTAACCTTTAAAAGTGTGCGGAGTAGCTTTGTGGCAACAATGACGGGGCCACCCTGGAGTCACCATGTGATTCACATCTTTGTCTATAGTTGTGTGTAATGTAAAGAGCCAATATATTAGTTAATGAATTCACTCATTTAGATCTTCTAATTTGTCCCTGTGACAAATTAGAAGATCTACCACCAGCGGCTATATGTCCTGACGGAGGCTTTCTACGTCTCTGGTTTCTCTCACTTCATGTAACTGGCCAACATCATGACACCAAAGGAGAGGATAGACTGGTCTGATAGTCGAAAACCTGGAAGCCTTTGAGCAAGTCTGTCCAACCAATCAGAAGAAAGCCAGAACCACTGCACTAATGAGTGCTAGGAAATTACTCCGAAATCTTTTTATACAGATTGGCTGTGAAACATTCCAGATCAAGCTGAAAGTTAAGAATAGATTTGATGATGGTAAATGGGATAAAATGATAACGAGAGCATATGTCAGTCATTTATATTTATAAAGCATATGATTTGATTAGAAAAAGTCAACTTTGCAGCTTATTCTGGGCAAGAACCGCCCACTTAAACAGGGAAAGACCAACATATAGGGACTAAGTCTGTTTTGTTTTTGTGTGCCATTTAGGGACGGGTTTATCTGAAATTGTTGATATCACAGTAATAGTTTGTTTGTGTGAAATGAGCGATTTTGTGTTTTTGGTGTCATTGGCAGGAGCAAGTCTTCCAAATCTCTTCCCGAGCAGAATCAGGGAAAGGAAGATGCTCGTTTAACCCACAAGTCAACACCATCTCAGTCATGCTCAGTAAGTGCTGCTGTCTTTTGTGTCTTTATCCACAGGTGCTGTTTTGTCTCGGACACATACTATAACACTTTCTCTATGATCTCTTTGTTCATGACCCCATAGTGTCATAAAAACACCCACATTTTGTGGCTGTCTGCCCCCTTCCGATGTGACAACTTTGGGTCACTCAGTGCCGCCTCCTTTATCCTTTGATCTGTAATTGGCTAGCTGGTGTTGGGTTGCTGTTGACACAGCCAATGGGCTAAATTACACGCACATTCATGCTTTCACACACCAGAGAGCCATTACCAACTGCAACATTAACACAACAGTGTTATTTAGTATCACTGAAACACTATTATAGTTTGCAAAAGTCTGCAAAATGTTGTTTTTTTTGTTCATTTTTATCCTTTTTTTTAAAATCATGTATTATTATTTTTTAAATGTGTATACAGTTTTTTAATCAATTTTTATTTCATTTTTAGTTTAGGTCTTCTAGTACAATGTTAAACTAAATGAAAACAAGAAATGTTGCCTTAGCAACTAGCATTTAATGTAAAGGTTATCGTTTATTTCAATCTCTATTTTTAACGTTTTAATTTTAATAAACTATAATAACCCTGAAACACACATGCCATCATCTCCAAGTTTACACCATCGTCATCGTTGAGTCGTCTGTTAAGTGGTTATTCCATTAAGTAGAACAGTTCCTATCTGTCTAGACGGCATCGAAGACTGACGGTCCTTGACATGACAGCCTACAGCTTTCTCAGTCTGATGTCCGTCTGACAATTTCCATCATACACTTGGCCCTTAGCCACACGTCAACCACAGGGCCCAGCAATATGGAGTGATGAAGTGAGAGTAGTGCACTGATGAAAGGAAGGAGAGATTTGGGGAATAGAGGCTTGAGCAGGTCATTAGTAAAGCGCACCGCAGAGAAATGTGCAGCCACAATAAATCCATAGGTCTCATATTTAATAGACAGATGTGTTTAGCCATTTTTTATACGTTATATGCAGTGGGTTTACAAAATAAATGCATTTTAAACAGGGCTGTCAAAGTTAAAGTGTTAACGCATATGAGTAAATGTTTAATAACGTTTAAACTACATTAATGCATCATAACAGTTTGGATCTGTTCTGTGAGATTATTAAAACACAACTGGAACAGATCGGTGAGCACACACACAAAAGCCCTTATAGCTAAGCAATCGCTGAAAAATAAAAGATGAAGAATATTTTTATGGGTAATTTATTCATAAATCAATCCCAGACAGGACATTTAACATAAGCGAAATCATTTATACTTCCTATTTTAGAGTGAATATGGAATTACAATATTATTGACGCTCCAAAGTCAAAGAAATGTTAAAGCAAAAACATTTTACACATGTAATATTCAGTCCATGAAGTTCCGTTTATTATTTAATTATAATTTATTTAATTGCCATCCACGTCAATACATTTAAAATGAGGAACTGAATTTATTCAAACTTAAAGGAGAAATATATGGTATTAATTAGTGCTGTCAAACGATTAATCGCGATTAATCGCGTACAAAATAAAAGTTTTTGTTTGCATTATATATGTGTGTGTTCTGTGTATATTTATTATGTACATAAAAAATGCACACCCATATTTTGAAAATATTTACATGTATTCACGTCTATATTTATATTCATGTAATTTATATTATAAATAAATGTATTTAATATATAAACATAAATTTTTTCGGAAATATATACATGCATGTGTGTGTATTTATATATACATAATATACACAGCACACATACATATATTATGTAAACAAAAACTTTTATTTTGGATGCGATTAATCGCGATTAATCGTTTAACAGCACTAGTATTAATACATAATTTAATGTTAAATCAAATACACAATTAAATCACATTATCTACATAAAATTAATCCTGATAAATTATTTTAATCTATTGTCTTTCCTAGTTTAATTCATCAACCTTACTATTCATCTGAGACGATAAAATACACATCTAGCACAATAAAAAGCGTCTGCTAAATGACTAAATCTAATGTAATGTAATGTAAAAATGTGAAAAGATTTTCACTGAACATGCTAAATCTGTGGGACACGTTTCTGTTTCTGTCTGTGGTTAGATCAGGAGCTGTTCTCTGGCATGTACATTGACTTCATGGGGACAGACGCGGCAATCTTCAGGAGCCTGACCACAAGGAACGCAGTGAGGACGGACCAACATAACTCCAAATGGCTGAGCGGTACAAACTCTACATTTTATTTGATCCAGTCTACATTATTATGACTGTTCAGTCAGAAAATTGTGCATAATGTTTTCTTGAAGCTACAAATAATTATTTATGTGGAGCATTAAATTACATGTTCACGTTCCATGCCATTTCAGTAAAATAATACACAAACCACAAAGTAAAAACCATCTTTGCCCACGTCAAAGGAAATAGTTGAAGACAGGATAGACTCAATATCGTTTTACAATGATTCCACCAGGAAAATAAAAACATATTGTACATGCATAACGGTTTTCTCAAGAGGTCACATTATCTTTTGTGTGATACAATCCAAATATACACAATGAAACGCATATTTGGTCTGGATCTGTGAGATATATTTTCTTCACTCAGTTCGCCAGCAGCTGTATTGTGTTTCATCTAAACTTAGGCATTAGCACCATGCAGAGATGTTGGATTCTTTAGGCATGAAATGCTACAGTACAATCGACTCTCTTTTGTGGTTGATGTAGAGCAAATTAAGTGTTTGAGCTGTAGTTATTCTTCTATTTTGACTAGAGCCAGTGTTCATCGATGCACACTTGATTCCTGATGGCTCAGACCCAAACGACGCCAAACTTTACTTCTTCCTGCGTGAGAGACTGACAGACAGTAGTGGAAACACTAAGAACATCCACGCTATGGTGGCTCGAGTCTGCCCTGTAAGTTTGTGTGTGTGTGCTTGAGTATCTTGAGTATCATGTCAATTTGTCACTGTTTACAAGTTATGCAATCATGTTCAGGGAGGTACATTTTTTTAAAGGAATTTGATCAAATGCAATCTCAATCTTTTTTTAAATATTTCAATCATTAATATGAACCGTATAATATATAACGGTATTAATCATTTATTTTAAGTCATTGTAAATTCTATTTAGAATGACACTGGTGGTCAACGCAGTCTGGTGAACAAGTGGACCACATTTCTGAAGGCTCGGCTGGTATGTTCGGTTCTAGAGGAGGACGGTACAGAGACCCACTTTGATGAGCTCGGTGAGACCACACACACACACACACATTGAGTTTCCATGTTTTATGGGGACATTCCATAGACGCAATAGTTTTTTTACTGTACAAACTGTATTTTCTATCCCCTTACCCTAACCTTCACACAAAACTTTCTGCTGTTTTCTAGATTAAAAAAAAATAAAAAATTTAGAAACTGTTTTCCTCATGGGGACCAAAATCGACAGTAAATGGGGACATTGCATAGACTCCTATTGTTATATATAGTACATCTAGTTACAAATACTGTAATCTAAATCTAACCCACACCCTAACAGAAAACCTTCTGCATTTTCACAATTAAAAAAAATAAATAATGATTTTTATACAGTTTTTACAAAGTAGGAGGTCCCCAAAAAGAGGTTTAGGGGGATTTTGTCAAGTTCAGCTTGCTTCTGGGTATATGTTGTCCACAAAATAAGGTTAAGTAGGTACAGTACACACGACACACAGGTTCTACTTAAAGGAATGTTTTAGTTTCAATAAAGTGAAGATATATGGACAACATCTAGGACATGCTGTCGATTTCCACATACAATAAATACGATTTTTAAAACTTTAAAAGCAAACAAAAAGAAAGTGCGGTCACACTTTATTTTAAGGTGTCCTTGTTACAGTGTAATTGTACATTTAAGTACGGAGTAATATTAATTAACTACATGTACTTACTATATGGTTAGGGTTTGGTTTAGGGTTACTTGCATGTAATTATGTGTAATTTGTTGTTATTATAATAGTAAGTACATGTAACGTGTAATAAGGACACCTTAAAATAAAGTGTTGCCGAAAGTTCACTTCAAATACCTCATCCTCTCCTTTGGTTTACCACAAAAATCAAGTCCCCTGGTTGTCGATATAAAGGCTGCCTTTATATTTAAGTTGTTTAAATAAAAACGTATTTCTTTTAAACAAACGTTTATTTTTATACAATGTACTATATATATTTTATGTATTTGTATTCAGTAAAAATATATATTTATTTGATTGCCATATATTTTAGGACTAGAAAAAAATCCCAAGGCGCCTTTAACCCCATTGTACCCTAAATAGATATGGTGTTGTTAGTTCTTAACCTGTAATTAACCCAAAACACTCCTTCGCCTTACAAATTTCATTCACATTATAGTTAAACAGCTTTCTATAATTACTGGTCATTAACCATAAACCAGCCATTTTGGTGTTTGTCAGTATCCATCAACACCCCTAAGTGATTTGTAAAGCTTTTCACCTCATTAAAATCCTTTTACGATCATAAAACACTCAGAACAAACCGTTTACACTGGAGGGTTAAAGCCTGTGATGGATTTACACGCGTTCACCTGTGTTATTCTTGTTAGGCCAAACTAGAACCGTGTAACAATGTTGTGGGACAGATGTTCAGCTACTGAGTGAGTGTTTGTCTCTTTCCTTCCAGAGAATGTGTTTTTATTGGAGACAGACCACCCAAAGGGCCTCCTCATCTTTGGAGTTTTCACCTCTACAAGGTAAAGCCAATAGCAATATTGAGCTTGCCGCTAATGTGTGTATATATGCGTGCGCATGTTTTTGCGTATGTATTTGCCAAATATAGGTCAGAAAGGGTTGGAGCTGAGGGGATGACAGGGTTTCTGGGAAAATGTGATCACACCTGAAGGCGGTAAAGGAAGGGAACGGTCACTCCTTTACAAACAAATATCTAATCTTAGTTCAACCAACAGCTTTTCACTGTGATGAAACACAGACATATGCACATGATTTTAAAACCATGGGAGACCACAGACATGAAGACAGTTCAACCGATTTTTAGCCTTATAATCCTCTGAACGCACACACTAGATGATTAGACCAGACCCCGAGACCACACACTTGATTGTAGGAACGATTTCACAGTGACACGAGATCTCACGGACACTCGCGAGATCAAACGTGACTAGAGAAGAAAAACAAATAGAGGACAATCAACGGTTGTCAGCTGGCGCACATTCTGTTTCACATTGAAAAACAAAGTATAACAAAGAATATGGGTGATGTTCTCTTCTTTCATGGTATGTTTGTGGCTGCTGAGTTTCAGCTATAGAAGCACGCAGCATCCACGCTTGCTCGCTCTCATTGTGGGTATTACGTCAGAGGCAGCCCGATCAAGAGTCGTAAATATCAAACATGTTTGATATTTACGATTTGAGTTTGGGGATGCTCCGTCTTGATCGGGAGCAGATAAATAATCGTAATGACACCACACAATAGAGGATTTTTGGACAAAAAATCGTTTGCGACAAGCTGCGATTCGGATGAATTTGCATTGAACATGAAAATGAATTTGCACTTTCATTCAGACCAATGCGAAAAGACCAACAAGTGGGTGAGCAATATGCTAATATTTCATGTTAACGTCAACATGAAATGGCTTGGGATTAGTTTTAAAAACGACTTGTTTTAATGATTCAGAGTCGTCTTTCAGATTTAAAACTTTGCAGGATGTTTTCATTCACTTAGAGCCGTTACACACGTAAAAATTGCATGAAAGGCAATTTTTAAAAATCCATAATAAGGGCACTTTAAATAACTGACTAATAACCTTTTCATTGCTATTAAAGTCAAATTATTGAACCTAAACATAGGAGCCTGATAAAAATGCCAATGAAGTCATCAAATACATTCATATGTACATATACAGTGGGGCAAAAAAGTATTTAGTCAGCCACCAATTGTGCAAGTTCTCCCACTTAAAAAGATGAGAGAGGCCTGTAATTTTCATCATAGGTATACCTCAACTATGAGAAACAAAATGAGAAAAAAAAAATCCAGAAAATCACATTGTAGGATTTTTAAAGAATTAATTGGTAAATTCCTCGGTAAAATAAGTATTTGGTCACCTACAAACAAGCAAGATTTCTGGCTCTCACAGACCTGTAACTTCTTATTTGTCTCTCATAGTTGAGGTATACCTATGATGAAAATTACAGGCCTCTCTCATCTTTTTAAGTGGGAGAACTTGCACAATTGGTGGCTGACTAAATACTTTTTTGCCCCACTGTATTTATAATATATTACATTTTCCTCTGTTCTTTATTTGTGTATATTTGTATATAATCTATATTTGCATCTATATACTACATTCAAAATCTATTTATTACATTTAATAAAATTGTTATATTTAATTTGACTTATTATGAGTTTAAAAATATATATTATACTCTTATATAATACATATCATTAATTTATTTCATATATTCTTTCTATATACTATATTTGGTAAATGTTTGTAAATATTCTATATTGTAAATGTGCATTAATTCTAAAATATATCATTTTATTTCTGATTTCTAATTTTTATACATATAATTGTGTGTATATATATATAAAATGTTTATTAAAATACATTGTATACTTTGGGGTTGAAGTATTTAGCACAAAAATACGGCAGACTGTATTTCTATATAGTTGGGTGGGGGGACGAGAAAGGTCAAAAGTGCCCCTGAAAATCAATTATAGGGAGCAAATGTCCCTTAAAAAAATTATAAAGTAACAGCACCTTTTGACACTACCAACAAGCATAACTCTAATCAGTTAACTTTTGAAGTACTGGATAAGAAATGTTAATTTGATTGTAGCACAGTTTAAGACGTTGAAATGTCTTTTCAACTTTTTTTTTCCTTCCTCAAGAGAAAGATCGTCTCGGTTACGTATGGTAACCCTCGTTCCCTGAAGGAGGGAACGGAGACGTCACGTCGGATGACCGGCGAATTGGGATCTCAATTCGCTAGTGGTCTTCATTTATTATCTCATTGTTTAAGCGAGAGTTCAGATATGAGGTCTCATTTGCTCTGGGTCATTTCATTATGTTTGTTATGGTGGTTTTGAATGAGTGTATGTTGGGCCGTGTGTGTACTTGAGTTGTGGTTTAATGAGGTGAGATTTCGGTCAAGGTTTCCGAGCTGTGGTTCATTCTCCAACCACGTTAAATCTGTGTGGTTTTCTTAATGAGGCCAATCCAAACAGCGACAGCTTCTTTGTCCATGCCCTGCTCTGTTATTGATCATCATATGTCTCTTTCCCTTTGTTTTGCGACCAAACAAAGAAATTCTGTCTTGCTGTCTGATCAAAATCTAGGATGTCCAGCCAAACCACACTTCATCCCAGAGTGTAACTAAAGCGGTGTCGCCTTTCCTTTATGTGGCATTTTTCTCTCTGTGGATTGAATCTCCAGTGTAACCATGTTACATCATCCCTTCCATCCAAATGCTTAGGAAGGATGTGCAAAACTGTCTTTTACTGTCCGACTTGCTTCATGTTAAATAGCTGTGTTTTGTTTTATTCCATCCAGTTCTGTGTTCAGAGGTTCTGCTGTCTGTGTGTACAACATGGCCGACATCCTGACGGTCTTCAACGGACCGTTTGCGCACAGGGAAGGACCCAACTTCCAGTGGGTGGCTTTCCAGGGCCGGATCCCATACCCACGACCGGGAACTGTGAGTCACACACATTCATGTCCTGCCTCGGTACAGTCACTCTGTTTATAACACCATTAGATATCTGCGATTTACACAGTTTTGTTGAAAAGGCAAATAATTGTAGGTGAGGAATGTTTGCCGAAATAATCATCATCATCATAATCTTATTTTTAGTTTATAAATTAAATTAGGAGATTTGATTTCTGGTCTGTCCTCCGTGAGGCTTATATTTCAAGGTCATTTTTGTGATACCTTTTAATAATATTTTACCATTTGCACACTTGATTTTGGGTCAATCCTCTGTTACAAAAGCTAATCATTTAAGGTAATTTATTTTTTATGCATATGTGATCATTTCTAACAATATTTGACTATAATAATATAGAATATTACTATACTACTGTTTATAAATATGTATTTATTATTTTACAAATTTCATAAATATTTAATATATTGCTATTTCTTAATAATTTAATAACATTTTTGTATTTTTTAATTACATTAAATTTGTAGATTTGATTTCTGTTCTGGATTATCAGAATAACTTGTATTTTATGGTCATTTATTTTTATAGATATATTTTTAGATATGATACTTTTACAATAACAATTGACAAATAAAATAATATATAACAGTACTATTTTATTATAGCATTTTTTTTTTCAGTTGAGAGTGTACATGAAATTTGTAGGTTTGATTTCTGGTCTATCCTCTGTTGGAAGGGCCTATATTTTATGGTAATTTATTTATCAGATAAATGATGAGATGAGAATCTTTAATAATATTTTTCAATGAAAAACATATAGAATGATGTTATTTTGTTAATGTAATACTAAATTATTATTATGTGTGTGTCCAGCGTAATGTTAAAGAGCCACAAAGGGTTTATTCCCCACTTAAATCAATAATGCTTGGACTTTTACATTTTTGGGGGAACTTTTAAAATGACGTACACTCACATGAGACAAAGACTCACTAATATTAGTTTGAGTTTGAGTGACAAAAAGACCCAATTGAAGTGATAAAGCTTTCATAATCTACAGCATGATTGTCTAAGCTTTAAATAGTTTTTATCCTCTTCCTGTCAGTGTCCTGGTGGTGCATTCACCCCTCATATCCAGAGTACTAAAGAGTTTCCAGATGATGTGGTGACGTTCGTGAGGAATCACCCCGTCATGTTTAACCCCATCTACCCGGTCGGCAGGAAACCTCTGGTGGTGCGGACACATGCCGATTACAAATACACCTCTATAGCTGTGGACCAGGTCACTGCTGCGGACGGACACTACCAGGTTCTATTCCTGGGCACAGGTAAAACCCCACAGTATGACAAATCTTAAAGGGATAGTTCACCCAAAAATGAAAATGTGATGTTTATCTGCTTACCCCCAGGGCATCCAAGATGTAGGTGACTTTGTTTCTTCAGTAGAACACAAACGAAGATTTTTAACTAAAACCGTTGCAGACACGAAACGATCGGTCTGTGCAAGAAACTGAACAGTATTTATATTGTTTTTTATCTCTGATTTACTGCAGTGTCTGAACTCTCTGAGCGACAGTTCAGACATTGTAGTGCATCAGATATAAAACGATATAAATACTGTTCAGTTTCTTGCACAGACCGATTGTTTTGTGTTTTTACACGTCAATGTGTCGTCACGAGCCGCAGGGTTTAATTTGGTTTTGTTTGTGTATGTTTTTTTGACTCTCAAAGCCGTGATTCCCATTCACCTCCATTATATGACTGACAGACTGCAACGGTTCGAGTTAAAAATCTTCGTTGTGTTTTACTGAGCACCTACATCTTGGATGCCCGGGGGGTAAGCAGATAAACATCCCATTTTCATTTTTGGGTGAACTATCCCTTTAAGAAAAATAAATGACCATTCGAAAAATTAATTAACCTACTCCGAGTTACAACTACCAGATGAAAAACAGTTCAAATGTCCCACAATATATTTCAACAACTACCTCATGTAATCTGTTTGTGGAAGGAACTGGCACACTTAACTTTGCTTGACTGCTTGTTGACCTTTTCAACAGACTAAATAGCTTTTTCCACCTAAAAATGAGAAAGGCAGGAAAGTTGGAATTTGTTTTCCTGACTGATAACATTTTACTGAAAGTGATTTGTCAGTTAAATTATACTTCATTTAAAATACTTTAAAATTATACTGTACTTTAATAAATTATGGCAGTAAGCACGCACTCAACTTTGTTATACCGCTTCATACCATAACATACAGTTTACATTATACAAAACATACCAGAGCCACGTTCCATATAATTTTATATAAAATACCATATAAATGTAATCTTATATTCAGCTGTTTTTCCAATTACTTTTAAAACGAGCGTTTTAGGAGACATGTTGCAGCAGTTAGGGTACATGCTCATGAAACATTGAGCTTTGGTGGGTGATGCAGGCTTGAATCTGGCCTGCAACATGTCCCATTTTCCCTATACTAAAAAATTCTATACTATACTATATTTTAAAGCAGTAAGGGAGCCAGGATCCAGGATCCAACAAACTTCAAACTTCCAAGGGGGCCACAGGATGACTTAACAATAATATTTGAATTTGAATATTTTAGTACAATTCTATGGAAGCCCATTTCTGCCACTGAATAAAAACTAAAAAAGGTAATTGCTTTATAATGACTTCTCACAATTCTGGCTTTTTTCCCCCCTCACAATTGCATGATACAAACTTGCAATTCTGACTTTTTTTCTCAGATTAGTGAGACAAAAAACTCGCAATTCTGAGAAATTAAGTTAGAATTGCGATATAAACTCACAATTGCAAGATATAGTCTAAATTTGCAGGATATGAACTCACAATTCTGAATTTTTGCCTCAGAATTGCGTTATATAAAATTGCAATTGCGAGAAATCAAGTCAGAATTGCATGATATAAACTCGCAATTCTGACATTGTTCTCAGAATTGTGAGTTTGTATCTTGCAGTTGTGACTTTTCTCACAAGTGCGAGTTTATATCTCGCAATTCTGATATTTTTTTTGAGAGGAAAAAAGACTGATATTTTCTCAGATTTATAAGCTTATATTCTCTATATATAAAGTTTATATCATGCAGTTCTGAAAGAAAAAATCAGAATTGCTGATTTGTATCATGGAATTCTGAGAAAAAGTGTCAGAATTGCAAGAGGTAAACTCAAAATTGCGAGAAAGTCAGAATTGTGAGATAAAAAGTCACAATTTTTATTCAGTGGAGGGAACAGGCTTCCATACACAATTCATATTCATATTCAAGTTGTTATTATTATTGCTATTAAAATAAAATAGTAATTTTGTGGGAAATGCTTTTCACTACTGTAAAGTATATTCAATAGTATAATATACAATTATATTTAATTTAAAAAAAATAGTTATTCTATACCATTCCATTCCTTACAGAAATATAACACATCCAGAGATCATCATACAGCCATATCTGTCTGCCACTGACCACCACTAGGGGGCAGAGAGTCTACACAAACTGCACAAATATTATCATCTCATCATTTTTAACAAACATCTATCTCTCTTCTGTATCAGTTAAATGGAAGATATTATGATTCCTGCTGTGTCACAGCACAAGACACGGTATTAACTTTTGTGATGGCAATGGAAGAATGAAAGAAAGCGTGTGTGAATCAGAGAACAGAATCAGAGACACGACAGCAGACAGGCTCAGCGGTTACTAGGGAACGGGGGGATATGGACATTTGGAGAGAATTCAAAATCACAGCTGCTTGTATTTGCCTATCAAAATTCCTGATGGAAAGCCAGGAGCATTGTGTGGAATGGCCTGCCTGCTCCTTGGCAGGGTTTCGTCTAGAAATGTTGGCTATTTAAAATGGGAATTTCCAGAGTTTGAGCCGAATTCTCCATCGTCCTTCTCTCTGAGGATCTGGAGCAAAATATACACACCTATCATGACCTCACAGAATGGATGAGCTTGACATTTAATGTTCATAAGCTGCTAATGGCATCAAACTCATCACTCAAAATGTTTCTACAGTCGAAGATATCCAATAAATAATTTCCACCAGGCAGATGGCAAGAAAACCCCCAAAATGCTTAGACTTACATTGAAGTAGGGCCACGGGCCATATCTAGGGACTAGAGGGTGGGCTCTTTTGACGTTAAAATCACCTAGCAACCACCCAGAACACCTTGGCAACCACACATTTTCCTCTGAAGTCTAGTTTGCAGATCTGTTTCACAGAACAGATGCTCAACAACATCATAAACCAACCCAGATACACACACACACACACACACACACACACAAGCTAAAAGATTTCAAAGAGAAAATCTGAGAACAATGGGAAGTTCATAAGCAGTTCAAACCCAGACCACATTATCAAGGTTGTTTTTGCTTTCCAGACTGTCCAATGCACTCCTGATGTTCTGGTATTCTGCTCACAGATAAAGGCACGGTACAGAAGGTCGTGGTTCTGCCGTCAAACGGCTCTCTGGATGAGGATCTAATCCTGGAGGAGCTGGAAGTGTTTAAGGTCTGAGTTCTCGCCACACATCACACATCAAAGTATCTAGAGAAGCAGAGCTGGCAGTGCCACAAAGCGTTTATTAAAACTCAATGTTGTTCTAAAGGAAGGCAGATTTTTAATGGGAACAAAGACTGGGCATGAGGTGAGGAAAAGATTACTCTGTGAGGTTTCTTATGATCTGCTTTGAGTGGCTCGAAATTGTCAAAATAGGTTTAGGCATAATGAATCAATTGATGGACCATGAAATGCCACACACACAGCTCAGTGGGATGTTTAATTTGGCATCCGAACACACGCTCACAAATTTGCACATAAAAACTCAAAACCACCCTAAATAGGCGATTTCTCTTTTAAAATTGTGGTTTCGTTTGATTGATTCAAATGGCAAATAGGCTAAGGATGTCCATTATAATGAAGAGCTAAATCTTTTTAAAAATGTAGTTTAAAACATATGCCCAGCTTTCAGAAATGTCATATTTGTAAAATTGTCAAATGGTGTAACTATCAAGTGAAAAGTAATCACATTTTCCCTCCAAAAGTTAAAATTTTTGTTTTTGCTTTTATTTTTGAGTCATGAATACCATGAAATTTTCATGGGGTTATACCATTTGACATTGCCATTTTTGGAGTTGCAATACAAACAAACATTATGGCATCTATAGACGTTCAACTAACATGATCATTATAAGGTGTTTAAAGCACAAATTCTATTTACTTATATTTCTCACACTTATGTGAGAATAGGAATACCACATATTTCACAAATCTAGTTAACAAGCTTATGAATATTTGGACTAAAACCGTAACATCAGTCATTTACAGTGTTATTGTGACTAAGAAGTGTCATGTGACAATCTTGATGCACTGCCACAGATAAAGGAATTATGATATTTCAATATTTTGAAAAAAGAAATAGAATTTGGAATATTTTGAAAAAAGACGAAATGATAAAAATCATGAAAATGAAATGAAACCCGCTACCAACAGACACATGGAAAAAAATTCCATGTTGGTTGCACCACACTTTTATATAAAATTCTTACAGTTACACCACCTTGACATTTTTCAACACAAACCTGCAGTTGCGAAGGCGCGATCACCTCGTTTTTTAAGTCTAGATCTAGGCACAATGAGTAGACAGGGATCACTGGATCTCAATGTTCTAGAAGGGGTGTAAGGACTGAGCAGGTCTGTCAGGTACTGAGGGGCCAAATTATTCAGGGCTTTATACACAAATATTTAAAAATCAATTCTATATTTGATGGGTAACCAGTGCAGCGCAGATAAAATAGGAGTGGACCATAATGAAATAATATATAAATAAAAATAAATAATGTTGAAATTTAATATATAAATGTTCATAGGAATGGGGACTGTATGCATGAATTTTATTTATTTTTTGTCAAAAAATAAAAATAATAAAATAAAACTTAATTTACCCTATTACTTTTTTGATTTTCAGAAGCAATCTCCTATCACCAACCTAAGAATCTCATCTAAAAAGGTAACTACATTTATCTAGCTCCATTTTGTGATCAAGTACTACATATAGTAAGTGGGGGTGGAAATGCTGTTGCTTTAATTCTGGGTAATTATCTTGTCACCAGTCCTGTGGGTTAAAGGAACAGCTTTTGAGATATCTGGCTTGTATGTGTTACAGCAACAGCTGTATGTTAGCTCTGAGCACGGCGTTTCCCAGGTGTCTTTGCACCGCTGCATGGCATACGGCTCTGCCTGTGCGGATTGCTGTTTAGCGCGGGACCCGTACTGCGCCTGGGATGGGCTCAGCTGTTCTCGATTCTACCCCACTGGCAAGAGGTACACACACACACACACACACACACTAACACTCAGTGTGGCATAAACTGCAGGAGCAGTGGGGCAGAAATAAATGATGAGACACAGCTTTGGTTTCATTTAGTCATAAAGCAGAGACACACAGTCTGGGTTGAAAGATTATTCGTGGAATTTGTACAAACCCCTAACTCTAAATATAAAAATTCATTTTGTCACCATTACATTTTAAAGAGTTCTGGCCTAAGATTTTCCTGGCAGACGATGAAACATATCGAGGGACTAGAATATCAGAGACTTGAGGGTGTGCATTTCTGAATTGGGCCAATAAGCAACTACCATAAAACACATGCAGTAAAAGTCACTCAGAACACTTTGGCAACTGTGTGGCAACACTTCAGAAACCATTCAGTCTTCGTAACTCAGACTGTACACATACAGCTTGTCACTCAAACAGAACAGCCCACATATTACATATTCATAAGTATTTACACTGTGGCTTGTTTCAGAACGGAACATGTTAATCTGATACTTTAGCCAAACTGTTTTTCTTGATGCCAGATGTATTGAGTACGGAAAATATTGATGGAAGGCACAGCCATCAAAACATCCATTCCGGAGTATTGAAGTGGAAAAACAGACATTTCCTTTCACTGCACTTCTGACAGCTGAATCGTGTTAATTATGAGAAATTAAGCTCAAATTTGACTTTCATGACAAGGAATGTGTTTTATAAAAATAATATTGTGCAAACATTCAGGCAGTGAGAGAATGTAAGAGTGAAAGGAAAGAATGCATATATGAAAATCTGTTGGATTAATCCTATGTACATGTTTTTCCAGGAGAAGCAGAAGGCAGGATATTATGCATGGGAATCCACTGACTCAGTGCAGAGGGTTCAATCTAAAAGGTAATGACTACCTGCATGTCAACACTTGGGCTAATTCCTAAAGTTATGTGCGGAGACAAGAATTTAAGTTTTCAGTAAGCAGTTTTGTGACAGGCAGTTTGAAAAACCTGTTTCCATTTATTTGATACAAAGTCCTTGCGACTTTATATATCATAATGAGACTTTATATCTCACAATTGCGCCTTTGTTTCTTGTAACTGCAACTTTTTCTCGTAAATGCAACTATTTTTTTTTCTCTGTATTTCAAAACTGCATCTATTTTCTGACAATAGTTGACAAGAATGCTGCTTTTTCTTATAACTGCAGCTTCATGTGGTTAAACGCATAATTGCAAGTTGAAAACTCATGAAACTTTAAAGGGACGGTTCACCTAAAAATGTAAAAAAATGTCAAATTAATTCTGTCATTGATTACTCACCCGTATTTTGTTCCAAACCCGAAAGAGAAGAAGTTGTTGAATAAACTTGTTATTTTTGTTTTCTCTGCGCACAAAAATGATTCTCGTAGCTTCATAAAATGAAGGTTGAACCTCAGATGGACTGTTTTAATGATGTCTTTACTATTTTTCTGGGCCTTGAACGTGTCAATTGTGTTGCTGTCTATGGAGGGTCAGAAAGCTCTCGGATTTCATCAAAAATATCTTAATTTGTGTTCTGAAGATGAACGAAGGTCTTACAGGTTTAGAAAGCCATGAGGGTGAGTAATTAATGACAGAATTTTTATTTTTGGGTGAACTTTAATGAAAACTCAACGTCATGTAAAAAGTGTCCACAGACACATCTGCGTAATTGTCAGCAAAAACAGTCCATTGTCAACAGTGTAGTGTTGTATGAATCAGCATTCACACAATGTCACTTTCAAACCAAACCAACTTTTTGTTAGTTAGCACAGTGAATCGGCGAGATCGACTTAAACCAGTTAATTCTTACAGTTCACATAATTCCTGATCACATGGATTCCTAATTAAATGACTGGCTTTGCCACATTGTGCTGCATTTTTACTTTCTTATTGCAAGGACGAATTGTGTTGCTAGGAAATAAGTCACTTCTGGTTGGGACACAAATAATCATTTGCAATACCATCTAGAGCTGAATCAATCTAGTGACTAAGTATTTTATTCATCAACAACATAGCCCCAAATGGATCCATTTTGGCGTTATGAACGTTGTCATAGAAACTAATCATTTCGAACTGCTCAGAGTTGAATCACCAAATTGTCATCTTGTAATTATGCTAATTCTAACATGAACGCAATGCTAATGCTAAAACGCTCATGCATCAAAGTCATTTTATGACATGTTGACAGTTTTTCAATACTAGCATACTATTTTTATACACATACAATTTTCCTAATGAAATACATACTTTTGATGCATAACTTTAATGCTAACTGACATGCAGCCTCACACCTTTCTCTTTCTCTTCTTCCACCACTTGTTTCCTTCTTTCTCTTATGTTTGTCTGATTCTCTCTCTCCTTGTGAAAGAATCTGTCATGGGACCAGAACACCTGTTCATTTGAATACAATTGGCACAGATACTGTCAGCGATCCAGATGACTCAGTTCAACACGTCAGATGCATCAGAATTATTAAAAAGCAATCTTAACGATGAGTGGAAGCGTTTTCCCAGCTGTACGCACTAAACAAAAGTAGCACAATGTCAAAACAGATGTTGAATGAATGACATCATTGGCCAGTGTACAGGGTCACTTATCAAATTACACACTAATGTGGCCCACTACTCTTCAGAGTATATTTTACGGCATACTCCGTGAACTCAAACCCTATCGTGACACTCATCCGCAGATGTTAGCGTGTCAGCTGAATTACGGCAGTACAATTACAATTGTTTTAGTAATGTTTTAGTATGCGCTAAGTGTTTTAGTATGCTCTAAGTGTTCGAGAGCTTTGGCTAACGCTTCATGTCTTGTTTCAGCCTACAGGAATGCAGTGGAGATGACTCAGTATGGAGTCAAAAACAACACCACCTTCCTGGAGTGTCAGCCCAAATCTCCACAGGCCTCAGTTAAATGGCTCATTCAGAGAGACAACGATCGCAGGAAAGTTAATGAAAACTCAACGTCATGTAAAAAGTGTCCACAGACACATCTGCGTAATTGTCAGCAAAAACAGTCCATTGTCAACAGTGTAGTGTTGTATGAATCAGCATTCACACAATGTCACTTTCAAACCAAACCAACTTTTTGTTAGTTAGCACAGTGAATCGGCGAGATCGACTTAAACCAGTTAATTCTTACAGTTCACATAATTCCTGATCACATGGATTCCTAATTAAATGACTGGCTTTGCCACATTGTGCTGCATTTTTACTTTCTTATTGCAAGGACGAATTGTGTTGCTAGGAAATAAGTCACTTCTGGTTGGGACACAAATAATCATTTGCAATACCATCTAGAGCTGAATCAATCTAGTGACTAAGTATTTTATTCATCAACAACATAGCCCCAAATGGATCCATTTTGGCGTTATGAACGTTGTCATAGAAACTAATCATTTCGAACTGCTCAGAGTTGAATCACCTTTGTAAAGGTCTGACTTACAATAATAGTAATAAAAAATAAATAAAGACAATATGCAATAGATAACATAAGAGCTAATATAATATAAAATCTCCACAGGCCTCAGTTAAATGGCTCATTCAGAGAGACAACGATCGCAGGAAAGAGGTCAGAAAACCCTGTCCAAAATGACACAACATTAAACCCTCATCCTCAACAGCCAATACACAGTACATTGCTCCAGGCTATCGATATTTCATTTGAATGAAATATCATCGTGTTTGTAATCATCAAACAGACTGACTCCTCCTAAACTGTCAATGGCGAAAAATAAGAAAATAATAGATGCACAGGGATGCTCAAAACTTATTTGTTTTGTAAAGGTCTGACTTACAATAATAGTAATAAAAAATAAATAAAGACAATATGCAATAGATAACATAAGAGCTAATATAATATAAACATGATCTCCCATACTTAGATGTTATAAATGTATATTTTATGCAAATATAATTATTACATTTATAAACAATTATCTAATAATACAAAATGAATTGTTCTTTATTATTATTATTATTTAAAAATATATAAAAGTAGTAGTAGTATTAGAGGTGGGCGATATGACTAAAATGTTATATATATATCACAATACAGTTATATTTGCTTTAAATAAGGTCTTTATGATATTAAAATGTTTGATACCATAGAAAATGTCATAATTCTTGTCACCGGTGTCAACATCACAAAAAACTAACACTAGCCTATATAAAAATAAAAAAATAAAAAAAACAACCTCAAGCTCACCGAAGACAAGTAAACAGTCAGCGATTAAATAAAAATAAGAAACTAATTAAAAGCAATAGGACAAAAAAAAAAACTACAGTAGAACAAATAAATAAGAAATGCTTCATGTACATTGTATAAAATAATCAAATGTATAAAAACACTGCATATTCTTCACTAGGAGGATACTTGCAAAGACAGGCATTTTGACACATACAAGTGTGTGTATTTAATAGTTCAAGCCCTATAAAGCAGAAAAAATATCTCTATGAGCACCGTCTTCACATGCGTGCGCCTCTCTGACAATGATCAGAAACAGTCTCTCAGACAGCATATAGCAAAATGAGTTCTCTTTCGCTGTTGATTGCGTTTCAACAGCTTAAAAATCACTAGTTTTTAAACAGCAATGCTTAAAAAGTGTGCAAACAAGTTTTCATAGCACGAAAGCGTGTAACTACAATAGAGACGATAGTCCAAAATCTCTACCAGTTGACAAATTCCTACCGTTATCACCCACCCCTAAGTAGTATATATGACTACATTATTCTAAATTAATAAAGAATAAACATTTACAATTTGTACATTCTAAATGGAAGAAACCCCCTTTATAGAGTTCATTCCATTGCAAAAATAGTCTTTTGATCACCAAAACAAACATGTCCCTATACCTAAAAGGATCACAATCTTATCTGGAAAGCTTTTTTTTCAAATGTATTTTTATATTCAATAAGAATTTAAAAGTTACACATTCACGGGTCATTCTTTTCTCTGTGTGCAGGTGAAGCTGAGCGATCGTGTGGTGTCTACCAATCACGGCTTGCTCATCCGTTCAGTGCATTCCTCGGATCAGGGTGTGTATTACTGCCTGGCCACAGAGAATGGCTTCAAGCGCACACTTGCTAAAATCCGTCTCCAGATTCTGAGCATCATCCCAGCTGCACCACAGATGTTCATACGGGAAGTGAGAGGGAGAGAAGATGGTTTGGAGGCGTTTCAAACTGTACCAGACAGTTGGCTCTCTCAGACCATAATACTGTAAAGAGTGTTGTGTTTTTGCCATGTGTTGTGCTTTGGGAAACATCATTAATCCAAAACACATCATTTTTTCCTTAGAAATATGACTGGTTCGTCATCATTTACTCACCCTCATGACCTTCCAAAAACGTCGGACCTTGAATATAATGCACATGTCGTATGGACCACTTTTCTGAAACGTTTTTGTCCTTTAAGAAGCTTGACCGTCAGTGGTCATGTTTTCAGTATACGGAAAAGAGCAGCATGATCATTCTGCAAAATTTCTCCTTTTGTATTCCTGAAAGAAAGAATGACATGAGGGCAAATTTTCACGGGTGAACTATTGGATAAAAATGCTGATTGTATGTGCACGTTTTCTTCTTTTACTAACATGGTATCCACATTATTTTTCAACACAGAAATTAGCCGTTTTCTGTGAATGTGCGAGACTTCTGACTCATAAGCCTAATTGGAAAATAACTATAAGAACAACAAAAATGCAGTAAACAGTAAAACTATTTGCGCTACAAACTAGTGTATTAATAATTACAACAATACATTAAAATATTATGATAAGAAATGCCATATCAAGCAGCAAAATGGACAGCTGAAAGCATATAACAATGGAAGCCGTGCACATTCAAGTTACCAATGGCTGCATCCGATCTTACGTTAAAAATAAGGTGAATACTGAACCAGAATGAAATCAGTTTAAAGTAGATATTTTGTAAAGCAGATTTACATAAGCCCCAGAAATACCGCAGAGTTTAAATCACATAAGGATAGGCCCAAAAAGGCATGTGATCATGCATATTGTATATCATCGTTATACAGGCACGTTTGATGTTGGAAATGAATGTCATGTTAATGTTTTGTGGTTTGCTCAGTGTGCACAGCTGTAATGTGACTGTCACTCATTTTAGATGATGTATAGCATTGTACAGCCTCCAGTTTTGGATTACTCGATGTCTGTGTAACTTACCTCTTTTTGTATTTTGAGTATCTGTGTAAATAGTGAAAACTTCAGCAGAGAAATTCAGTCCCACTTCAGTTTTGCAATAGATTTCTCTATGGCTATTAGAACCATTTCATTCACATTTGTAGTTTTCTCTCTGAAATGCCCGAATTGAATTTTGTGTAATGCCAAATTTCTGATGGGTTTGACTGAATCTGCATTTTGCAGACGTTTCATGTTCACTTTTTTTTTCTGTGGCAATTTTGTGCCCTCTTCAAAAGGCATTTGGAGTAACAATGTGCTTTAATATAATAGGCTACTATAGCGAATATACTGTATTACCTGTGAATGTTAATGGTATTTTTATTTTATTATGTCTTGATTTGTGTATTCCTATTTATTAATGATATAAGCCTGAACAACTGCATTAAACAACTTTAATCTGTCCCATGTGTTACAGACTCTTCACAAAAGAATCTGTGAATTGATTCATAGCTGTAATAAGTTACTTAATATTAATCAGATTAAACTCATAAAGAGTCAAGCTATGAAGACAACAACATTAAACATGAAACATAATGAAAACAAAATTCACGCCGCAGCAGAATAAGACCGTCAGTCTTGTTTTTGAACCATGGTTTGAACGCATAACTTAATATGGTTATGTTCACAGTTCAGTTATTTACGACAGTGACAATTTTACTCATTGCGACATTTTCGGCTAATATGTGCTGTGTTATTGGGCAATTCGTTGTCTATCACGTTAATACGACGCAAACTCGCGCGTCTTCTGTTTGATGCGTATTTTCATATGTGGTTTCGATAACTTACAGAGAAGCAGAAATGTGTCATCTGAAGGTTTTAGACCCAGCCGGCTTCAAACTGTTATAAAAGCTGCTGTCTGTTAATTAGACTGATGATGAATTCGCGCCTACATCGTGTTACATGATATTCAGTTATCGCGAGAATAGAAAGTTGTTTAAAAAAAACAAACAGTTGGTTCAACCGTCATTTCATGAAGCTACAAGAATACTTTTTGTGTGCAAAGAAATAAAAAAATAACTACTTTATTCAACAAATCACGTCTTCTGCCAGTTCCTCTGCACGTAAACGACGCATGCGCGTGATGCTGTTGACAGAACACATGCGCTGAGCCTCATCTATGCTGCGTTCAAGTCCTCGTGGGGACATTCGTACTAACGAGTTGACAAGTCGTAATTAGGTGCGTTCAAGTCAGTTTAGTCGGCACAAGATGGCGGTGTACCTTCTTTTAATAAATGACAAGAAAATACAACAGGGTCTGTTAACTCTGCTTATAGAAAACGAAAAGCAAAGAATTCGCATCAGGTGTGTTTTGCGTTTTTAATATTTAGTTTTAGACCAGGATCCCAGTATAACTGATTTTCAGCATCAACAGATGCAGAGATTAAATAAGCTGTTAGCTAAATGCAACATGGCAAATCAAAAGATTTTTCACCTGTAGGTGCAAAAAGTATAGCAATTTTTTTTACTTGGATTTCATTAACTAGCTGCGTAACAAGAACATGACCAAGTTAAGTTTATAGGACAACTAAACTATCAATTTAAACAAAGATTTACCGTCAACTACAGACGTTGCATCCATCGATTCCTCCATGTTTCTCATTGACACGCCCCCAACTTGGAAACTCGGGGCTTAAAGACAATTTAGAGTTTCCCACTCATAATAACGACTTTGTGGTGGCGTTCATGTGCGTTCAACTTGTAAATACGATCTATCCGACATGACTTGAACGCACCATTATACTAATGGATAATGCAGTTGGATACTCCAGCTGCAAAGGAAAGCAATGCGCATGCGTCTTGGTACTCTCCATAATGGCGGAATACGTGACTTGGAGGAGAAGAATTGTTGAAGTCGTTATTTCTGTTTTCTTTGCACACAAAAACTATTCTCCTAGCTTCATAAAACTACAGTTGAACCACTGATGTCACATGGACTATTTTATGGATGTCCTTACTAAGTTTCTGGGCCTGGGAACATTTCAGTGTCATTGCTGCCTATGCAGGGACAGAGAGCTCTTGGATTTCATCAAACATATCTTAATTTGTGTTCCGAAGATTAACAAAGGTTTTACGGATTTGGAACGACACGAGGGTGAGTAATTAATGACAGAATTTTCATTTTTGGGTGAACTATCCCTTTAAGAGTGTTATTCAATTATTAGTGTTAAATTGTTTGTAAAAACTATTTTTATGATGGTGGCAAAGGTAAGATGTAAAAATAGAGGAAACGAGCATGCAAAATTAATTAATATATAAATTAATATAGACACACATACAGTACGACTCCAAAAAATATCTAATATCAACCAATTATCAATTTGGTTCTGAAATATTATGCACCCTTTTTTATAATGCATCATACAGTATTTGGACATATATTACTCAAGGAGCTGTTGAAATGTCATTAACAAACGATTATGCGTATTTTTATGTTAGTAGCATGGACATTTGTCAAGCCTTTATTCCAAAAACCTGCTGTTTGCTCTGGCCTTTAGCAGTTTAAAACCCATGGGTCAAACCAGAGCAGAAAAGCAGCAGTCGGAGATGACCAGTTGCGTTTTATAATTCATAAAGCAGGAGGGATACAGAGCTCCCAGGCCTACTTTCATATTAAACAAACCCCTGTTTCCCACTCAACCTCAAGCCTCTCGTTCTACAGAACCTCCCATTCTGATTTAGCAGCCATTGGAGAATGGAAAGTAAATCGTGTAGATTTACAGGGTATAACAGAAATCTGTTCCAGAATTTCCTCTGTGTCTGTTTATCAGTCTGGTGATTGTTCTTACGCATGAGAAGGCAAAACTTGATATGTGATTTGAGATGTGTAGACGGCAACAACTACGCAAAAAGTACAGAAAAAATAAATAAATTCCAGAAAACACAAATCACAATGAGGCCAAGTTTCACAGTTCCTTGTTTTACTGAAATTGTGCTGACATACAAAACTATTTCATATTTAAATTAACCACAGTACGACCACAAAATAGCAGAATTTTTGCCCTGATAACTATTTAAAGTGTGACTTGATACAATATCAAGCGAAATACAGAAAGAAATAATTTTGCTCCACAAAAATGCAGTTTATACTGTAAATTATATAAATAGAATTGCGGTACTCTGCGCGCAAATAACAATTACAATATACAATTCCCACAAAGTGCGCTATCAAAAAATCAAACACACAAAGCACCAAGCATCCCTCCCTTTATTTAACAATCAAAGAAAGTTTGCTATTGCTCGGTTTCGTGCACACCACAATCGATCCGATCAAACAGCTGGCGAATAAGACTAAGCCAACCACTATGAGTCCGATCTGAAACCCCTCCAACAGGTCCATCCGAGAAATCAGCTCTTTCTTGAACATGTCGGCCGTCTCATCGTCCAGAACTGCCGTCTAACACAAATAAGAGACAAAATCTCAGTCAGTCAGCAGTCAGGCGGCACCTAATCCTGCTCTGATGAAACAATCAGATGGTCCAGGGGTCAGACATGTGTGAGATTAGCTGTTTACGGACCGCAATAATTCATCAGATATATCAGATGTACGATTTCAGAAATTACTTGGTTGGTCCCAATGGGTCTAAAGTACCAAATTAAAGTAGAGATAATGTATCTAGAGTGTACTTATTTTATCTAAATGCTTTAGTTGGACCAATCACAACCCCACAGCATATAATCATACACACATATCACATTTGCATGCATTATTTAATATATGCTGTATAAAAAAAATTAATAAATATGATTTTGCTGACTTAACTAGTTGGACCTTAATGCTTTATTTTGACCAATTTTCTTTAATTGGACCTTAATAAATACTTTATTTGGACCAGAATGCTGTATTTGACCTAAATACTTAATTAAACCTAAATGTTTTAGATGAACATAAATGCTTCCATTTGATCTAAATAGTTTAAATAGTTTATTTTTATCTATATGCTTTAATTCAACCTAAATGCCTTCTTTGGACCTACATGCATTAAGTGGACTTACACATTTTAGTTGGACCTAAATGTTTTATATGAACCTAAATGCTTTATTAAACTAAATATACTGTATATAGATAGATAGCTATACAGTATATACAGATAGATAGATAGATCACTATATATACTGTATATATAGTGATCTATCAGATAGATAGATAGATAGATAGCCTCAAACTGACATATTTCCGCTATTATAAATGGGAATACTAAGGTTATTATAGGTGCTTTATTGGACCTATATGCTTTAGTTGGACCTAACTGCTTTAACGAAATAGATGCTTCATTAACGCTTACCTCGTTTAACCATAAAATAGGGAAAACTGTGTAGTCCTTGATTTTGTTCAAAATTCTGTGAGAAAGAAAGACACGGGACATCATGTGAGGCCGTGCATGTATGAATTTAGTGTATGAATGACAATGTGTGATGTCTGTTTACATACACAATACTATCCGATGGGCCGTACAGCATGTTGACCTGAAGTCTTTTTGCAAATCTCAGAGTGAAACCTGTAATCTACAAATGACACAAGATGCTTAACCATTGTCTTATCTTAAAGCTTCTTCCTTTTAATAAAAGAAAACTTGTGCAAACTGAAATGGGTTCCTCACCGGTTCTACATCCAGAGCTATGGAGTGCTCATCAAAGTTTGGGTTCAGTCCGATCACACCTTGATGGAGATCATTGCTGCCATAGAGGAAGTGGGGTAGAGAGAGGAATACTGGGGTTCCTGTTGAAAAATATTGAATATAAAAAACTCAAATAATGCATTCAGTAAACTTTAGTTTCAACTTCAGTCTCAGTTGACTTCATACGAGGCCCAAAGCACTGACCTTTACAGGCGGTGAGGTCAAGAAGTCCTGCCGTAGTGCAGTTTCTGGTGAGCACAGGGTTTGTACAGTAGCACTGGTTATCTGGGTTCTCCACTGGAGAGGCCAGAGCTTCAGGAGGCAACATGTACCGATACACATCGATTCCCTTCAGGTCAACAGTTCCCTTATACTCAGCAGATATTGACCTAGGGGACAAGTATGATATTTATCACAAATGTATATGTTGCAAAGGGGGAAGGAGTGTATTAAATGGTATATTATTTTATAATTGATATAATACACTATGTGTGTGTATATATATATATATATAAATATATAAATATATATATATATATATATATATATTTTTTTTTTTAAAGAAATTTCTTATGCTCACCAAGGCTGCATTTATTTAATCAAAAACACAGTAAAAACAGGAATATTGTAAAATATTATTACAATTCAAAATAACTGTTTTCTGTTTTATTATAGTTGAAATCTCATTTGATTCCTGTGATGGCAAAACTGAATTTTCAGCTGCCATTACTCCATGTCTTCACTGTCGCATGATTCATGAACATTTATTATCATTATCAATGTTGAAAACGGGGCTTATATACAGTGGGTACGGAAAGTATTCAGACCCCCTTAAATTTTTAAACTGTGATATATATATTTTTTCAGGGTTCTTTGATGAATTAAAAAAACACATAAATAGAGGAGCATAACAGCATCAATTTGAAATAGATTATTTATGTAACATTATAACATTATAACTTTACTTTTCACTTTTGATCAATTTAATGTCCTTGCAAAATAAAAAAAATAAAAAATTATTTGAAAAAAAAATTACTGACTTCAATCTTTTGAATTGTAATTTATATTAATTGTATTATACTGATATAATAAAATTTTATATATATTTTTTTTTAAATATTTTTTGTGAAATATTTCCTTTGTTTAAAAAGTATCATTTAGATTTTAAAATTATACAGTTCATTTGATATTTTGCATATGATGCAATAAAATTCATACATTTTTAAGCATGTTTTAAGTGTCAGAATACTTTTTTAGCCATTGTATATGCATGAGTGAAAACACAAGGAAAAATATTTCAAAAGCCTCGAGACATGGTCTCAGTAATACATTTTTAACACTTATCATGTGACTAAATAATAGAAAAGACTGTCTAGCTTTGATCTCCTGCAGTTATAGCTTTACAGTCACACATGATGTATTATGATAAAAGTGAGGAACTGCTGGCCTTACTAGAGTTTTTCTGACATGTGACCCTTCAGAAGGAGTGGCCTGACCTCTGGTGGTAATGGCAAACAAAAACTGGATGCATGAAACCTCCACTTAAATGCATTAAATCTGTATATATCAGGATTCCAGATCAAATCTAATCGGATGCGGAGAGATAAAAGTCCATGAACCCTCATGGAGAAGATAAGACTTTAATCAATAGATTATGAGAACATTGCTGATGAGTGGCATTTCAATACATACAGTGTCCTCATAAAGTATCTGGAAATTTATATCTCCAATTAAATGTATGAATGCCGTAACAAATGGCATTTATTGAAAAGAAAGATAAGCATAAGCAATTGACTCATAATCACCTTGAGACCACCTGGTTAAAAGTTCGTTCTGAAAAAAGTCTAATATCAGATGTTTGCAGATGCCTTGGGTTATATTTTGACTTAAAAGGAAGTAATCTAATCTTTATCATTTTAAAGTGTATTTTATTTACTTTTTCTACTGATTATCAGGGAACAAACTGAAAATACCTGCAGATATCGGAAGAGAAGAAGTACAGGGGTTCTTTCTTGTTCAGGAAAGGGTGGAAGGAGGAACCATCTGTTGACATATGAATACAACATTAAATGTGATTAATGTGTGAAATATTACATTTGTTGAACTTTATATCATATACCTTAGAACACACAGTGTCCTTGTAGAAGTGCTCAAAATCAATAGATGATTAATAATACTATAGTATGAGACCTGCACACTATTTCAGCACGGTTTTAGGCAAACAGCTTTGGGGCAAAAATCATACTACATATTTGAATATAAGTCAACAACAATGTAATTACTTCACAATGAATTCCATATCAGTGTAATATGTTCGAGGTAAACTTGCCTGTTCCGTTTATCTTGTTGCAATAAGTGTCATTCCAGTAACTCAGCGATCTGTACAACATTAAGTTTTTGGATGAGATTGTTAGTCGGGGTTTTACTAATATTGTGTTGAAGCATGTGATTGATTCATCGGTTATTAAATCATAAACAAAATTACTGACGGTTGGTTCTGTTTATACAGTATCTACATTTAAGGTCTGGGTCATTTTTAGAGAACAACAAACCTATTTACAACCCAAAGAACCATGTAAATATTCTCTGTTACATGAATTCATATACTTACGGTTCACCTGCCCAGCGTTCAATCGTGGCTACCTTATTGATGTCATCTTTGCCTGTGAATACAGTGTATGGTCCATCGATGGTGTCATTGTACTAAAAGAAACAACAACAACAACAAAAAAACAGATAAATAAATAACACTATGAAGAGAAATTTTGTGGATTGGCTTGAAGGCTTATCTATAACAAGCTTTCATTAAACCATTCATGGTGTCTTTAAAGGAATGCACTCAGAACAATAATTTTGCTGAAAATATACTCACCCTCAGGCCATCCAAGATGTAGATGAGTTTGTTCCTTCATCAGAACAGATTTGGAGAAATTTAGCATTACATTTCTTTCTCAACAATGGAATGGGTGAATGGGTGCCGTCGAAATGAGAGACTGAAAAGCTCATAAAAACATCACAATAACTCACAAATAATCCACACAATTCCATTCCATTAATTTTTGTTGTGTGATTCAAGAAATACATGTTTTTTTAAAAAACAAATTCATCATTAAGTTGTTTTAACTTCAAACCTCTGTCCATAACAATGCTTCTTCAAGTAAAAAAGCCATTTAGTCTGAATCAGGAGAGAAATATGCTCAGATGAAACACTGTTTACAAGTGAAAACAGTCCAAAAGAGTTTTAAACATATGTAAGTGGATTTCACTGTGAGAGGACAACAGGGGATGGACTTTTTCACTGAGGGAAGCGTTATTATGGATTATGGACTCATATTTTGGCCAGAAGCGACAGTTTAAAGTTAAAGCACCTTAAAGATGAATTTTAGTACAAACATGCAGCTTTTCACTTCACAAAACATTAATTGATGGACTTAATTGATGTTTTTATCAGCTGTTTGGACTCTCATTCTGACGGTACCCATTCACTGCAGAAGATCCACTGGTGAGCAAGTGATGCAGGTACATTTCTTCAAATCTTTTCAGATGAAGATGCAAACTCCTCTACATATCCGAAAGGCCCGACGGTGAATAAATATTCAGCAAATTTTATTTTTGGGTGAACTATCCCTTTAAGTATTCTTACAGTATTCTTAGTTTTTTTCATTCTTACATACATCTTAAGTTATATATTTGCATATGTTACAAATGATTTTGCTCATTCCCAATAAAAATGGTCTAATTGCATTTGAATATATGATATAGTTTATCAATTATGAAGCTTTAAGCATCCAAGTGAATGCCATGAAGCCTTACTGGATAAAAAACTCCAAGCGTGCTGCCCAGCATTGGGTCTTTGTAGCCCCACAACAATTCCTTAACAGTCCTCTTCTGGAAGAGTGTGGAACCGGAGCTCTGGATGAACAAGTTTGCAAGACGGTGATCTAGTAAACTGTAAACACCCTGGAAAAGAAGAAAATAAAGTTCACATTGATCACAGCATAAGCATGGAACCATAACCTATCATAAATTCATCTGCCTAATAAAAACTTGGAATTAACAACACGAGTAAAATTTATTAGCATTTATTATCCGACTGAACATCACCTAGAATTATAAATATAATCTGTGACAGTGGATATGAGGTGATGATTATGCAGCATTGTTGGTTACATTTTAACATGGGTACTGTGCTGACTCTTGACAGAGAATCACAGATATCAACATTTTATCAATGATATGACAAACTTTAACTGACTTGCTTCACAGCTGACAACCAACGTTGAAGCAATGTTATCAATATCAGGGGTCAGCAACCTTAAGCGAAAAGAGTTTGTAAGAAATATTAATATTTCATGTATTTACTTTATTATTAATATACACTTACACAATTGTTTAAAGGGTTAGTTGACCCAAAAATGAAAATTAGCCCATAAATTACTCATCCTCAAGTCATCCTAGGTGTATATGACTTTCTTCTTTCAGACGAATCCAGTCGGAGATATATTACAAATTGTCTTTGATCTTTCAAGCTGTTTCATGGCACTCAGCGTACTGTTCATTGTTTATGTTAACTAATATAATAACAACAAATAAAAGGTGTTGTAAAGTGTCATATATCTGTAAAACATTGCCAAATATAGTGTCAATTACAGTTTTGATAGACTTATGATAGACAAAACATTTTAATATTCACAGGATTTTACTCGAAAATGTGGCACGTTTTTCTAAAGCATACTAGCTAAATTGACAAAAGTCACCAAAAATGTAAAGTGTAACTCTCTAAACACATTGTTATGTTCAGTTCCATAGTTTTGACAAACCCAATACTTTGAAATGGAACAGTTTATTGAATCTTTGCATGTTTATTGAAAGTTTCCAAATGTGTGTTTTGTTTTGTATCGTATTTGATATATCAGGCTTTTATGGCCCATATGAGAATATGGAGCTTACACTCAAGAAGTAAAAATAAACATTCATTAATCCAATCATTTTTATTCAGAGGCCCAAACTGAGCAATTATTGTGTTTTTATTGCCAAAAAGTATAATGAAATGTAATGCAATAAAAAGATGAAGAGATGTAGCAATAAACGTTCATCAAAAGCCTGATGCATCATATTTGATACATACATTGTATCGTGATTTTTTTTTAGAAAAAAGGATGAAAATTCAAGTAAGCTTAAGTTGCTTCAGTCCAGTAAGTGTTGATTTTGAAATATTATTATAAAAGTTATTCTTATATAAACCATTAAATATTCACACAACAAAAAAACACAACCCGAAAGTAGACATTTTTTAAAGTATAAAGGCATTTTAATTGCTAAAAAAGTATCAACTATCCATTAGAGGGCAGAAGGCAAGAAGATTGTGTACAAGATTTTCAGCAAAGTTTTGATCGTGCTGATAATTTAGAGGCCAGAAATTAATTTATCAATTCTAATATACCCGTAGGCTTTATAGGGTTAAGACATGAAGCATAACTCTCAATGCCATGAGAAAACATATGTCGAAGCACAAAATATTGGATCATTTAAAACCATGTAACTGTTTGGCTAGAAACAATTTAAGAAATCTCTTGCTTGAAAATTTTTATCTAAACAAGTAACTATTATGGCAGGTTTTAAGCCATTTAAAAGTCATTAAGACAGCTTAACATAAGTTCAGCCAAGATATTTACTTAAGTACATGACTACAACAACATTGTACAACTCATTTTGACATTGTCAAAGCAAAATGTAATTATTCAGACACCAGATATCATTTTTAGTGGGTGCAGGACACTATAGTTCATTTATGTAAGTGTGGATAGCAAAATACAGTAAACTGACATATCATACCCAAAAATTCTTAATACAGGGCACTACCAGTAAAACTGATGAAAATTTGGGACCAAAAATTATTCAGACACTTTGACGTGACCATGTTTTGCTTAAGTGTTTTTCTTTAATTGCTAATGCGACCTTATCACACCACAGACTGAACAAAATTAAGCATTGCTTAGTAATTGGTCGACCTAAATTGGTATTATCTAATTGTTGTGTACTTAAATTTAACAGCTGACAGCTATTCAACCTAATTTATTACATACCTTTCTATCAAAGTAATCTGACATTATCAAGATGAGTTCTTGTCATATTTTATTGCCATTTTCTAAACTATAGCGAATGGAAAACAGCACCACTGCACAGAAGACTCCACCTCCTCCCGGCGACCAGGTGATGATGCTGTCCCCGGACAGCGTGAGGAGATCCCTCAGCAGGATCAACTCACGCAAAGCTCCGGGTCCTGACAACATTCCAGGGCATGTACTGAGAGACTGTGCAGTGGAACTCACCGATGTCTTCACAGACATTTTCAACATCTCGCTAAGCCAGGCTGTTGTCCCCACATGCCAAAATACAGTAAACTGACATATCATACCCAAAAATTCTTAATACAGGGCACTACCAGTAAAACTGATGAAAATTTGGGACCAAAAATTATTCAGACACTTTGACGTGACCATGTTTTGCTTAAGTGTTTTTCTTTAATTGCTAATGCGACCTTATCACACCACAGACTGAACAAAATTAAGCATTGCTTAGTAATTGGTCGACCTAAATTGGTATTATCTAATTGTTGTGTACTTAAATTTAACAGCTGACAGCTATTCAACCTAATTTATTACATACCTTTCTATCAAAGTAATCTGACATTATCAAGATGAGTTCTTGTCATATTTTATATCTGCCATGTGCCTTGTGCTGCTTTATATATATATATATATTTTTAAATTTTTTACATTTGACCTTACTTGTATATTTGTATAGTTGTATTTTTATATTTAATCTGTATCTATCTGTATTTATGTTCTACTGTTAGTGTTATCTGTATGCACCAAGGGTCTGAGAGTAACGCAATTTCAATTCTCTGTGTGTATGTGCTGTACATGTGGAAGAATTGACAATAAAGCAGACTTGACTTGACTTGAATAATGTGAGAAATGTTGAAGGTGTCTGAATACATTTTGGTTTGCCTGGGTAGGATAAACCCCCCAGAAATGAATTGAATAGCTCCCATTCATCCTGTGAGTCTGTTTGAAACTGGACACAGGCCAGAAGAGCAAAGCAGCCGTTCATTGGCACCAAGAGATGCTCGCCAGCATCATTCATGTCCTTTACTGCTGATGCTGAGGCTGAGCGCGCGTCCCCGCCTCGACACGCGGACGCGCATGCATGCACGCGAACAGGAAGCAGCGCGCGCCCGTCAACACTGACGCGCTGGGGAACGGATCGCGACGCGTCTACGGACCTGTTTTCATCCCTTTGAAGGGATTTACGGTGAAATAACGGGGGCTAACGGAGCAGTCTTGATCAAACGAGGCAAGAGCCAGACCTTGTCCTCCGTCTTTTGATTTTCAAGACCCTCTTTTGCGCTCGGTTCTTGGTTTTCTCGTCTAAAGAAGGGCGTGTGGTTTTCCGGAGAGAGCGCTGGTGCATGCTGATTGAAACGGTTCGGATCGTCGCGAGGATGGGCTGCACGTTAAGCACGGAGGATAAGGCGGCGGTGGAGAGGAGTAAAATGATCGACAGAAACCTGAGAGACGACGGAGAGAAAGCGGCCAGAGAGGTCAAACTCCTGCTGCTCGGTAAGAAACAATTCAACATATCTGTTATAGCTATGAGAGACCTAAACTGTCCCGTTTCTTTGTTATAACTGCATTACACAGTCGCTAAAACTGTATTACGCTCTAGTTACCGTTAAAAAAGTGACGGAAAGTTTGGTTGTGCAGTAATGGTTAAGTTACTCTTTTGATGTCCACCCTTTAGGCTACCCAACCCGTTAGCTTTTATAGTTTTATTATGTTTATATTGCTTTATATGTTTCATAACCGTCGAAATAGTCAGCGTTTTACTTTGTTCAGAATTATTATAAATGATTAATAACAGGACATTTGGACTGAAGGAGTTATTGATCGTTCCAAATGGGCTAAATGGCCACAAAGTAACAGAGCTGTCATTGAAAACTGTCGCAATGCACTCAAAACAAACCCATACACACACTATGCGATGCACTTGATGCTAATAGGAGCATTTTTTGAAGGGTCCTTTGGTAATGAGCTGCTGCGGTGCTGATGGTTTTATATGTAGGAGGGGTCTGACAATGGCGACCTGTTGCTTCATTCTGCTCTTAATGTGAAATGATGGTAGATTTGATCATGCTGTCTCATGCAATTGAGCATCTGTGAGTTTCCTGAAATGTCACGTGTTTAAATCAGCACACGTAGACGTGTGATACATTAAATAAACATTTGAGATAAACAGCATCTATCATGGTTCATGATAGATGAAGGCAAGTCTTGTATTTAAATGGGGTGTATTTGTGGGTGACTTCTGGACTGCTGTAGCAAACCCTAATCCATACCCAGAACTAACCAGTCCCCTTAAATCTAACTGTCTGTCCCAACTAATCCTAAACTCTACCCATAACTATCCAACTCTAGCCTATGAATCAACAATAAGGACTGTGAGAGACTTTTCAGCCAGTTAGCCTTCCATCTTGGACCAGAATTTTGATCACATAAATGATATAATCAGCTAACACAAATCATTTTCCCTTTGAAAAAACAACAACACATTTACATGTTTGAAAAATGTACAGCAATACATTTTTACAATATTAAATGATGAATGTAAAACTGCTAACTAAAAAATGCAGCTGAAATATATGTCTGAAAAATGTTCATTAATACATATTTTATATATTTAAAATAAATAGTAAATAAATGTAAAAGTTACAAGTTCAGATTTGGAAAATGTAGCCGTCACTGGTACAAAACAACATATAGAGTAAAATTCAATTGTATAAAACTTTTTCTTATTCTTTTTCTGAGCTACTCACAAAAAACCTTTCTGTTAAGTCTTGGTAGTCTGTATCTGTAAATATCCAACCCTAATCCTGATCTATAACTACTAACACCAGCCCTCATTATTCATAAGCTGTTTACTTTTAAAGCAATTTATTCGTTTTCTGCTATAAAATATTAGTTTAGTAAAAGGCCTTTTTATGAATTAGGGATAAAATAGAAGCATGGTTTATGTCAGTCAGGCTAGCATAATAGAAACAATTGAATTAAATGAAACATTTATTTGTTTTCATCTCTTAGCACAATACACATAATTCAGCCAATAGTAGTGTGATGTATTTAAGGCCTACAAGATAATAGTTTTCCATTCCTGAGTGAGCATGAAAAAAAAAAAGAAGATGGCTAGATATCATACTGATGCCAGACAACGGATACATAATTTGCGTTTCTCACAGTGCTTGTCTGTTGCATTAATCTGTCATTTTATGTTCAAGCCGTACTGTCTGAAGTCATCCTGACCTCAGTACACACTGCTTCCACCGAGATGTTAGCGAGATGGTATCTCAAATGCTGCCACTCGTCTCCAGGCAACACGCAGACGCACACAGACACACAAACTCAATGTGTTCAAATTACCCATAACAGTGGCACAATGGAGTCTGGTGAAAGGAAGGAACCAACACACACACACACACACACACACACACACACACACACACACACACACTCTCTCTCTCTCTCTCTCTTTCTCTCTCTCTCAGATCATTAAATATGGAGAGCCTCTTTGGCTTGCTGAAATGACCAGCACATGGAGGGTTTGGTGACTTCATGTGTTTGTCTAAAACACAACTGTACCAGGCACTGGGTCGTAGTGAAGCCTGTGAATATCTCGCTAGGGTTCGTTGACACCTGACGTGGTTTAGCAGCCAGAACACTCACACGATGAAGCAATCGCTCAACGTGCCGAATGTTTGGCCGTAATATGAGCATTTCAATAAGCGGTTCAACTGTGATAAGATCCAATAATATTTTAAATCTAATCCATTAGAGAGAAAAAAGAGCCCTTTTATATTTTTCATAGCAAGATATGAGATTTTTTTTGGCCAGTAATCTTGTAGATTTATATGAAAGTAATTCATCATACATAGCACATTTGCGGTGAAGTGAATATGATTTTCTTTTAGTGTCAATTCTCATATCTAAAAACATGGTCAATGGTGAATATATTGTTGATTATGTAGCTCTTTGGAATATTTGATTCTGATTGGTCAGTGTTTGCATTCTTTGGTGGAATATTTTAAATATTCTTTCTCACATAATAAAATAAATAGCCTAAATACAGTTTAATTGGTAACACTTTACAATAGGGACCGATTCTCACTATTAACTAGCATGCCTATTATTAACGTATTAGCTGTTTATTAGTACTTATAAAGCACATATTCTGCATGAGCATATTCTACATCTTTAATCCTACCCAATACCTACATTTAACAACTACCTTACTAACTATTAATAAGCAGCAAATTGGTTTATTGAGGCAATAGTCGTAGTTAATGGTTTGTTAATAGCGAGAATTGGACCTTAAAATAAAGTGACACCATTAAATTATTATTAGTATTTAATAATAATTTAAAAATAATGAGCAGGGTAACACAATTTCAGTTGGTTATCACAAAATAAGCAAATAAAATGTTTTGCGATATTGATCGGCTTACTGTTTATTATAATTTATATGTAGGTTAAATTATATAATCTGGTGATCAGTGATGATCAGTTTATTTAGACAATATTTTCTCAAAATATTTGAAAACAAAAACACATTATCCTATTTAAAAAAAACAAAGGTTAGTCCATTAACAAGGTTGGATGTTAACAGAAAAGTTTAATTACTTTTCAGAAGCCAAGTGAGTACAGCTTTTGGCGGATGATTTTGGCTGAAAATATCAAATTAGCCAAATGCTGACCGATTAATTTTTTGGGCTGATATGTATCAGTCTATCACCAATCTCCTCCAGTGATTTTTTTCCATATGGTGTTTGGGTTGATTTTCATTAGATGTTGTTTTTGCAGCTTTTGGCAGGAAATGGCTAGTGTTTGTGCACCATAGAGATCGGGGTGTGGTGTGTTGCGGATCATAACCTGAAGCTTGTGTGTGATAATAACCCAACTGATTGCTGGACAGCTGGTCTCAGCGGAGGTGTGTGTGTCGTGTTTGGAGCTACGGGGGTGAAAACAAACTGACTGGGCCTAATGTAGCAGCACTAATGTCTGTAAACCATGTAAACCTCGGACCATCTCTCTCTTGATCACACACACACACACTGCAGTGATGCATCACCATTCCCTTAAATATCTCCTTTAATGAAAAACACAATGGAAGAGTCTATCAGTCATGGAAAAGCTTTTTCAACTTGGTAATTTTGCAAAGTTAGTGTATGGTGTTATTATCTGTTATAGAGTAGTTAAGCCTATATGTGTGGGTGAGTGAAAACATAGATCGGCTTTTGGCACGTCACGGTTTGAGGGATTTTAAGAGGCTTTGATGTGCATACCGTTCATATTCCAATTATGTCATCGGAGGGAAAGTTCAGAGGTCAGTTCAATGAATTAACATCACAAAGCACGTCAACACTACAACATATGAGTGTTTTGCACTTGTGCACTATTGTAATGCTTTTTAAAGTCAGCACAAAATCTAAATCGACCCTATGTTTACTTTATTTGTTCCATCAAACACAAAAGGAAATGTTTTAAATGAATGTCAGTGACGGACAGCCTCGGTAACCATCTAATTCTGCATTTCTTTTCCAAAAAATTAAAGTGAATGATGACTATCTTTCTCTCTTTCTGCCTGACATTTCATTTTGTGTTCACTTTTTCTGAACTCTGAATAGAATTTCTTATTTGGCTGGTGCCCATTTTGTAGGGCTAAGAATATAAGCATATTCATTTGTTTGAGCATTGTGTACTGTGTGATACATAAAAAAAAAAAAACATGACTTTCAATAAAGGTTAAATGACTGTGCTAATTTTATTCTTAGAAATGTGAAATTCATTGTGATTAATCAAATAACACATTTTAAGAATAAAAACATGTTGTTTACACATTTAAAAAAAAAAAATAATTCATTTATGATTTAATTAATTGGCATCCCTACCTGTTATACTGGCCTTGATGATACTTATCTTATCAAAAGTATAGGCCTATTAAAAATAAGTATATTATTAAACATGCTTCGTTTATTTTGATTGTACATTTATTTGGGAGTCAGCGTGTAAATATACACTAGAGGTCGACCGATA